CCCTAATCGGTATAACATGTATCGAATAGATCACGCAAAAAGAGGTAGGCTTTATGAATTTATATGTTGTTGTTCAACTCACCGAAAGATAGAGATTGCCATCATAAATGCTCAAATCAGGCCCCAGAGCCAAAAGTTAAAAGCTATCCCGAAGGATGTCGCATGGTTTGCATTTTCATTATATTCTTTTACATCGACATGGTGTTTTTTGAATATGGTATACATAGACATGATGTGTGTGCACTTCAATCATGACGACATGTTCTAGAACCACACGGAGAGGAATTTTGGGCCTTTAATTAGGGTTTATTTGACTGGAGAATGACTTCTATGAAACAGTCCCGACCAGGCCAATAATCTTATGACACACATAATAATATTTCCACGCGTCATAGAATCATTGGAAAAGGGTAAGGGAGTCAAGGACCACACGTCATGGGATTTTCACTTTTCATCTCTCAAGATTTTCTGGCTTTCTTTCATGTCAGCCACCTGCCATACAAGGAGTAAATTAGAAAGAATCCCAAGAGTTGGAATAATTTATATGAAAACGTCAACACCTTGCATATCATGCCATTGCCTTGGTTAATTATTATATATGGTCACATGCATGCATACAGTGACTTATCACTTGAATATATTCTGAATGAGTGTCCTTTTTTGACCGTGAAATGAAATCGACTTGTTGTTGCTAAGTATATACAAGATTGAAATTGATTCCTAACAACATATATACCATACTGCATAAAGAATTCCACCCTCTCTTTCTGCTAATCCTGCTTTACAGCTGCAACTTAAACGCCAGAGACAAAAAAGATAGAAGAAACTCACCACCTCACTTTTTTCTGTGTTTGGTTTATTGACAGATAAAGTAAAATATCTTCTTATTGGCAAGAGTAGGCAGCAATTTTCAATACAAATAAATTTACCCTATTTGTAAGAGACTTGATTCATTAGATTTTATCTCGCTAGGAAACAATCACAATGATCATAGTGAGTCAGCAGCTTTAAAATTCTGGTTATATTTTCGTCTTCCCAAATTATTTTGTCTGCTGAAAATCATATCTACCTATTCATTTGTAAAATCGCATTACATATTAAAAGATTGAACGCTCCTTAACCATGTATACATCGATATCCATCCTTGCAAGTTGCAACCATGAAACTTGACATCTTAGAAAATATCACCTTCTTCCGAAAGCTCTCTAGGCTGATTGATCACTTTAGTTACGTAATGCACAAAATATATATATATATATATATATATATATATATATATACTCACATCAATTGAACTTGGTGGGGGGGGACCTCCGGTATTGCACTGTTGCATTGCATGCCAATCATGTAGTCTAAAAGGGGTGCCCTAAAACTAAAACCATATATCTTTTCTCCAATGTTATCGAAAATTCATAATCTACCAATCAAAACCTAATCAATCTAGCTAAGCAAATTGGTGGTGGTGGTGGTGGTCTCCTATGTGTCACCGAGTCTTATTCCAGTAGTGCAAGGGACCACCGACCTAGCCCACCCCACTCATCTTTGAATCACAATCATTATCTGGGTGATTTATAAAAAGTCATAGTCACGTTAATCCAGTCAAATCATGGGAGGCTCACAAAATCCTCCCCACCTTTTTAGTAGGGCACGTGTTGGGTACATAATGGGTGATGATCATCGACTACCCTTTATTTGAGATGGCATTCTTGTCGTTTTTGAAGTGTTTTATAAGTGTTTGTGTCGTTTCTTAATGGGTTGACACAACACAACACGACAGGAGCGTAGCCACACTGGAATTAGTGTGGTCTCGAGCCCCCACTCAAAGTTTTTTATATTTTAAAAGTAATATATTGTTATGTATTTTTATATGTATATTATTTCAATTACTTTACGTTTTGATATGTACTTACATGTGTTGTAGCGGATTTATTAAGGCACAAAGAGGTACTTCAAATTGCCTTCTTACTGAGCTGGTGTAGGTGCACTCTAGGTGTACATATTACCTTAGTTCCATTTTAAGTTTACAATGTAAATAAGGAAGTACACCATATTTGGATTCATATAAAAATACTAGAAAATCAAATTCTCACCAAATCAAAATATGAAAAATTGATTTTAGTGTAATATACAATTTAGGCTAAAAATGATGGCTCATTAAGTCAATATATACTTCATACTAAAATCTCATAAAATCAAGTTTTCTTATTTGATGTGTAAAGAATAAAAGCCGCAACAAATTATCTTGAGAAAATTATTATTCCGAAAAACCATTTTTCATACTTAGTCAATATTTTTACAAAAAATATTTTTTCGTGTATGATATTAATGCATAAATGGACCTAAGGTTTTTTTTAATTTGTGAAATTTTGATATATATTTTTTTCTTTCTATTGGGTTTAATGGGGGAAAAAGCTTTAAAGTTATTTGCTAAATCGCTACTCTTTGTCTATCTCTTGCAATTTTTCTTGCTTAGAATGTATTTGTCTATCCCTTTGTCGAGGACAATTATGATTGCAACCAATAAGCAATATAATTCTTAACATGTGATATATATACACTATTTTTCGTATGTATTGTGAGTTCGAATTTTTGATTCTTTATAATTTGTAAGAGGCCCTCACACACATGAAATCCTAGCTTTGCCACTGCGACACGAGAAGAAAAAGGGTTGACAATTTCAAACACAAACATGACCCGTTACAATTTGCGAATCACACAATAGACACGATAATCCGTTAAGAATAAATAAATAAAAACAAAACATAAACATAAACATAAAATTTAAACATTTAAATAATCATCAATTAGAGCAAAAAATAATAATAATAATAAAAATCAAACCGTCCATAGACGGGCTCGAAGGTGAGATTAGAGATGCCTGCAAGTGGCCCTCGAAGGTTTGGGCAGCAGAGATGGTGGAAGTGGAGGAGGAAGAG